TGGCTATTGTAAATAATGCTGCAGTAAGCATAGGGGTGCATATATCTTTTAGAATTAGTGTTTTGGGTTTCTTCAGATAAATACCCAGAAGTGGAATTGCTGGGTCATAAGGTAGTTCTACTTTTAGCTTTTTGAGGAACCTCTGTACTGTTTTCCACAGTGACTGCACCAATTTTCAATCCCACCGACAGTGCATGAGGGTTCCCTTTTCTCCAAATCCTCGCAAACACTTGTTTGTTAATTTATTGATGATAGCCATTCTGACAGGCGTAAGGTGAATTTGCATTTCCCTGATGATTAGTGACATTGAGCATCTTTTCATATGTCTGTTGGCCATCTGTGTATCCTCTTTGGAAAAACGTCTATTCAGATTCTCTGCCCATTTTTCCATCAGATTGTTTGTGTTTTGGGGGTGCTAAATTGAATGAGTTCTTTATATATTTTGGATATTTACCCATTATCAGATGTTATCATTTGGCAAATATTTTCTCCCATTCAATAGGCTCTTTTCATTTTGTTCATGGTTTCCTTGGCTGTACAAAAACTTTTCAGTTTGATGTAGTCCCATTTGTTTATTTCTTCTTTTGTTTCCCTTGCCCAAGGAGACATATCCAAAAAAAATATTACTAAGAACGAAGTCAGAGAGTTAACTGCCTATGTTTTCTTCTAGGAGTTTTATGGTTTGGGATCTTACATTTAAGTCTTTAATCCATTTTAAGATTATTCTTATATATGGTATAAAAAAGTGATCTAGTTTCATTTGGTTTTTTTGCATTATCTGTCCAGTTTTCCCAACACCATTTATTGAAGAGACCATCTTTACCCCATTGTATATTCTTGCCTCCTTTGTCATAGATTAATTGACCATATGCACAGCAATGTACCTGACGTCACAAGCCCCACCCACCAGACTTTAGGAGAACAATACTCCTAAATGTTTAACCCATCGTAAAGCTCAGTCCAAGCTGATCACTTCAGCAGTCCACATAAGTAGTGCTCTCAGAAACATGCTTTGAGTCTCCACTTTCCACCCTGCATCCCCAGCTGCCCCGCTAGCTGGTTTCTGAGTGTGGAGGGAAGCACCCTGCCATCATCCTCCCTCAACTCTGGTTACCCCTGCCCTGCACCCCTCCCCACCTGTCCTGTCTGAGGTCAGCCATGGCTGTGCTCTTGATCTGGGCTCTCTCAGCCTGGCTGAGTCTGGAGTCTGAGGTTCCTCATAGTTTGCTCCCTGCAGCCCCCACTGGCACTATGCACCCCTTGAGGTCTGGAGTCCATTGCCTTTGGGCCCAATCTCGCTGTCCAATGGAGCCCTCACGTACAAAGGTACAGAGCACCTCACAGCCCAACCAGTGCACGGCCAAGGACCCCTGGGACCCCCACACCACTTAGGAGCCAAGGGGGTTCTGGCAGATAATCGCAGGCCCTGGCTCTCTGCACACCATGTGTGGTCGCCCCAGGTGGAGAGGGGAGCAGGCTGGTTTGAGCCCCCCTTGTAGAGCCCCCCTCGGTTCCCCCATCTACACACCAACAGGCACACTCTTTGCCCATCTCACTGTCTTCCTTCTTATTCCCACAATGCACTGGGATGAGGGAGGGGCATTCCATATCCCTTCCTCGTGGCTTATCCAGTGAGGAAGAGGTGCCTCATCTATACTTGGGGAGACCTCTGTGTTCTGAGTCCCAAGGGCCTGCACAGCACAGTGGGAGCTAAACAATTTTAGCAAATTCTTCTTCTCTGTCTTTCTCTGCCCCTCTGAATCTCCAAAACTGGGGCCTTGCTACAGAGGGCTAGAGCCTTCTCTGCTCTGAGCAATAAGCCTGATGACTCGGAGGTGGGAGGGCAGCAAGCGGAAGTAATTGAAGAGGGAACTTGAAATGCATCACTTAGTTTGTAAAATATTAGGCTGGTTGCATCTGCATCAATCACACAGTGCTTATCTTTCCTTATGCGGCTCCTTCACCAGGAGCCACATTTGTCCTGTGCGTGATCGGCCCCTCGCCACCAGCCTGTTGGCTCCGTCCCCTCTTTATTTCCATTGTCTCCATTGTTCATCCATCCATCCAACAAGCACTCACTGACGAAGCACCTAGCGTATATACCTTGTTCATCTCTGTGGGCCCAGGGCTGGGCCACTGAATGACTACAGAGAGGGAAGGGCTCCGCTCCCCGGCATCCCACCTGACTGCACCTGCTTTCCTGTCACCTGCCTTGCAGTGCATCCCACCTACAGCTGTTTTCCCTGCCCTTCCCTGTCCCCTCCCCCACTCCCACTGGCAGGGGCATGTGAGCACAGATGATGGGTCCCGGAGCTGAGTTCCCAACTCTGCCTTGCTCCACACGGGTCCGGGGCCCCCAAGCCCCAACATAGTCAGAGTGAAGAGGGCTCCCCACATTTTGCTGGCATCCCAGAATAAACACAGGCCCCAGAGTTCACGCCACCTCTAGCTGCTGCCCCAACACCCCTGAATTGTAGATTTGGGGGAGGCGGTCCAGTCAGTGGGCTGGAGAGACTCTTCCTCCAAGCCTGATCCCACTCTAGGATTTGAACATCTGAGTCTGATTAATTTTTTCATAAATCCCGAGAATTTCAGGAAAGCTGTGGTTGCAGGGAAATATTTTAGACTCTTTCCATTTGCTGCCAGGTATCAAGTGTGAAATGGCAAGGATTAATAATTTGTACAGCCCGAAGTACACTTCAAAAAAATTAAAGGCTACCGTGCCTGGTCGCTGAGCAGAAATCCAAATCTGAGTTCAGAGAATCCTTAGACAGAAACAAACCTTCAAAGGTCAGCCTTCCATTCCCCAGGCTTCAGACAGTGCAACCTTTAAATTGCTCCCCAGACAGGGGAGAAACCTGTCGGCCCACCCAGCAGACCTTGACTGCGCTTCGCCAGGTCCAGACTCTGTGAAGTCCGGGAGCACAGGGTAGGCGCTGACACCGGGTCTCTGGTCTTGGCGTGGTGGCCCACGGGGCCCTGGCAGCCCGCATTCTTGGCTTGACTCACAAATCCACAGTCCAGATGGTTCCCCTACACTTGCTATGGTTCCTGATCTGTTTTGACCCACAGAGCCCTTTGAGCATTTGACATGTCATGGCTCATGTCATGTCCTAGGAGATGTGTCTGTTTGTAAGTGTCGTCCATCTGCACGTGGTGGACAGTTTTCCGTTGTCCTGGAGCCGCCTGGACTTCCGCCCTGCAGGAAATCCCCGGGGCTATTTCCCAAGTGGAGACTCCGCCCCCTGGGCCTGCACCTGATGGCCTTTTCTTTTCCCCCCCGCAGAGGTGGTTCAGCTCAGCCTCGCCCCTGAGGAGAGGGTCAGCGTGACCACAGTGACCGTGGGGCTGAGCACGGTGCTGACATGCGCTGTCCGAGGAGACCTGCGGCCACCCATCATCTGGAAGCGCAACGGGCTGGCCCTGAACTTCCTGGATTTGGAAGACATCAATGTAAGTCACCTGGCTCTGATGCTGAGCCCCATCGTACCTCCTGGGGAAGTACAGTGTGCAAGACTGCAGCAGGGCCTGAGGGTTTTCTTTCAACATCCCATGCCTGGTGCCCTCCTGCCTATAGTCTGATACCTAGATGTACCAGAAAATGCAAGTCTCACCGCATGCAGAAGTAAGATGGGTGGTGGCTGTAAGCCTGCCAGCGGGGCCCAGAAGAAGGTGAATGAGGGAGGCGAGGGGGCAGGGCAGGAGGTTCCGGTGCCAGCCACAGCGGCCAAGGCCAGGAGGTGGGGGTGAAGATGAGACAGGACGAGGGGGCTGTGCAGCGAGTCCACCACTGGGAAGTGGGGAACACAGGCCAACAGAGAACATGGACAGGCAGGAGGCTCCCAGGCAGGGGAGAGCATCTGGGTAGGGTCCCCGAGGGAGACTCAGGCCCGAAAACTGGGCAGGATGTAGACAGCTGGACAAGGGTAAGGGGAAGAGGGCGTTCCCTGTGGAGGCGGAGCTGGGCCGCTGGGCTGGGCTGGCTGAAGGGCAGAGGCCAGGTGAGGAGGGGAAAGAAGAGGAGGTCAGGCCAGAGGGGCCTGCCAGGGGCCTTGCTGGGGGCCTTGTTTGTGGAGTGAGGGAATGGGGATGCGATGGGTTGAGTGGAAGAAGACCCCTGAGATCACGTAGCCTAATGTGACCGACGGGGGAACTTCTGTACCCTGAGGGCCCAGCAGCCTGGGCTGGGGTCCCAGTGTCACCCAGGCTGCCTTTATGACTTTGAGCAATTTCTTAAACAGCTGATTCTCAATGAATTAATCTATTTAAAAAGCAACATTAGCATTACCTCCCTTCTATTGGACTTGAGGAATACAGTGATTAATTAAAGGATATTAATTGGCCCTGGTTTGGCACAGGGGGTGAGGTGGCTTCCCAGAAGTTCATGAGGAGACAGAGTGATGTCACCCACGTAGGGTGCCACCAGGACAGCAGCTACAGTAACAGGAATCCAAGTTTCAGGCAGAAGAGAGGACAGCCCTGGTCTCCTTGGCTCAGGACCGGCCAGCTGGCCCAGAATGGGGTGCTTGGCCCAGAGAAGGAAGACCAGAGAGATGAGTGGGCAGTTCATGCTACCAGCTCTCAGGTGGTGGGGGAGGTGCTGGGGGAGAGGGAGCTGGCCTGGGTTGAGTGATCCCAGGGGTTGGATTAGCACAAAGGGCCAGGGTGCACCCAAAAGAGACCAGCTTGGGCTGCTGAGCTGGAACACCACTCCAGCCATCAGCCCTACCCCTCAACTGAGTAAGCCATCACAGGAGACAGTAGGCCCCCATCCCTAGAGACATACAAGTTCAAGCAGGACCACGGTAAGCAATGCTGCGAGCCACAAAGAGAGCAGCTGAACCTCATGACCATGAAGAGCCCTTCCAACTCTGAGATTGCTTTGTGGGACAGGGGCCCAGCATGAAATTCTGGAGGAACCCCCAAAGTTGGGACTCTGCTCTTCTCTAGACTCCTTTGGCTGCATCCTGGAGATCGTGGGAGAAGCAAACGAGAAGAGGGGCCACTCTGGCGCTGCACCCCGGGCAGAGCTGGCAGGAGTGCCCTTCCCCCACCCTTGTCACACTGGGCAGGGTTGTTGCCTTGCGATTTCCCCACTATGGTGAACATAACATGGACCCTACCCATCTCTGACTGTCGCTGCCTGCACTAGCCTGGGGGTGCTTAATGGATAGATGCAGGGTGGGCAGAGTCTCTGAGCCTGAGATGCCCAGGGCGTGTCTGGGATTCTAGCAAGGGAAGGCAGGGTCCTGTGTGTAAAGACTAGGGTGTATGTTTGTACAGGGGTGCACATTTGTGTCTGCAAAAGCTCTCAAGGTGGGGTGTCAGCATTTAACCATGTTTGGCCAGTGGAGATTGATCCGGAACTAGGACAGGTCCACCTGTGTCTGTCTGAACATCCACGTGCATTGCTTTATGCTCTATTTAAAGACACCAGAAATAGAGGTAGAGATGGAGCCCCTCTTAATGCATTTGCCATCGGTTAATTAAATTACTTTTTAGTGTTTTTCCCCTCCCTCGAACATGCCTCCAGCACCAACTCAATTGCATTTTTACTTTACACAGTGAGGTTAGCAATTTGGGTAATTGTGGGTGCAATTGAAGATTAATGGCCTCTCGTTACCTCCCAGGAAGCACTTGCTGCTCCTGGTCAAGTTAGCAGCCCACAAACAGGCAGGGCCTCGTGCTTCTCAGAAATCCCCACATGAGAGTGCAGGGCAGCGCCAGCCCCACAGGGGTTCTCACCTGATGCATGCAGCCACACACGCCACAACCATACACCACACATACACACACACTTACATACACACAACACACACATACATATAACATACACATACAACACACATACACACACAAATATATGCACACACAGCACACATATATACACACACAACACACATACATATACACACACAACACATACACACAACACACACATACATATAACACACATACACATGCATGCACATGTATGCACACACATGTGGCTCCCCTGCCTCAAGGAGAAGAGGGCAGCAGCACAGGCTCTGGAGTCAAAAGTACCTAGGTTTGAATCTCAGCTCTGCCACTTACTAGTTGAGTGACCTTGGAAAGGGCACTTGATCTAAGCCTCAGTTTTCTCCTCGGTGAAATGGGAATAAATAATAGTTTCTGCCTCATAGGGTTAAAGTGAAGATTAAATGAGAAAATACATGTGACATCCTTAGCATATAGTGTTCCATGCTAACTATTGTCACTCTCATGGTTATTATTATCATTGCTATTAGTACTACACTGCTGCCAAACAACACCATGCATCCTGAGTCCTCAGCAAGCAGCCAGCGGTAGCCATGGGGCTCCTCAGTCAGGCAGCTATGACCCTGGGGTGCCTTCACTGCTTGTAATCTGGATGGGACAACACCATGTCAGCCTTGATTCATGCAGGGAGACAGACAATGACCAACCACTCCAGCAAGTCCAGAGAAGTCCTAGGTGAATGGAATGACTTCTCTGAGCCTATGGGGAAATGGAAACGGGGATGTCCTCTTCACAGGGAGCATTTTCAGGCTGAACATGTGTGTGTGATGCGTCTAGCCCAGTGCCCGACACAGGGCAGGGCAGGTGTTCATAAGTGTCAGCCCTCCTCTGGGGGCAGTGAGGACAGTAGTCCTGGGAAGAAATCAGTGGGAGAGGGGTAGAGCCAGGTCCTTGGGATTCAAGGGACATTTGTGAAGCAAGATTGGTCAGGGGAGAACAGCCCAAAAGAGCAACACTGATGGGCAAAGATCAGAGATGGATGGGCTCCTAGAGTTCCTCAGCCTGGGTCCCAGCACCCACCCCACCTGCCACAGTCAGAGACAAAATACAACCTCTGCCTCTGTTGTAATTAGCAACTGACACGGAGACACTGCGCAGACTGGGAACTGATCAGTCTACAAAACCAAGGCGGGCAGATGAGCGAGCACAGGATGATGTGGGCCTCCTTTCTTTGTCATTCGTATGAGACATCTTGATTGGCAAGAAAATATTAATCACTTTTTCACCACTCTCTTAATGAGATGCTTTCATGGGCAACAAAATATTAATTTGTCTTGTCTTATCTGTTAAGAATTCTGTTAATGAATTCAGTTGCAGAGCTATTACAGAATGCCATCCTAATGACACATGTAATTAAACTTTTCTGACTTGCAAACATCAAGGTTGCTTTGAGCATCAGAATAATATTTGATCAGAAAGTAAATGTACCCTCTAGACCGAAGCCAAGCCCCTCAGGCTCCCCAACGAGCAGCGTTGCTGTCAGAAGCATTCGCAAGCCATCCCGTATGTGTGCCTGGCGGTCCGGGTGGCCCACATGGGGAGTCATCCTTTGAATTTGTTGACTAAGTGCCGGTGACTCGCAAGGCCTGTGCCAGAGCATAGAGCAAAGATACTCTTCCAGCCTCGAGGGGCCTGAGGCTTCCAGAAACACAGAATTACTGCATGATGTGGCAGGTTTCATATTAGAAGGAGGGAGCCAGTTCTGGGGGCCAGAGGAAGGAGAGGCTCTGATTGGGCCTCATAGAACAGGGATAAACAAGAAAGACAGGAGACTGGAGTGACAGGTTGGGGCCAGAACATAAGGCCCTTAAATGTTAACATAAAGGATCTTAGCCGTTCCCTGTGGGCAGTGCGAACGGTTAGGTTTTTAACGGGGGAGTGACATGGTCAGATGTGTGTTCTACAGGAGTCCTGAGCCCCTTCCAGCCTAAGTCTGAGTAAACATGTACCCAAGGAGAATCCCAAATAAGTTGCCAGAGACAAGGGGAGCCCTGCTGGTGCTCTGGATTTGGGGGGGGGCTTCCTCCTCAATAACTCCCCCAATGGCATATTCATATTGGGCAGGGCCCCTGGCTGCCTAGAGCTCCTGCCCAAGGTTCCCTTCTCAAGGCCGAGAGCAGGTCACAGCGCCTTCGCCTCCTCAGGCTGCTGGGAAGTTCAGCGAGGAGCCGGTGTGCTTCCTGAGGGTGCCTGAGTCACCCACCCCTTTGCAGGAGGCGTCAGCTTCACCCCAGCCCAGCTTGCATAAGGGGTCCCTACCTTACCACACCTGGGAAATGCCACCCCCACCCCCAGCAGAGAGCAGTATTTAGGGACCAAGAGTGCGAAGCCCCAGAGACAGGGGCACCTCAGCAGAAGGAACAGCCCTGGGAACTCACTGCCGGCCTCTGGCAGTGGGTCTCTGCGTTATGATGCCTCCTTCTGCTTGATCAGAAATCAACACTTTCTACTCCCACGCCTTCCCCAGAGCTAACACAGGGCTGCCTGTAATTTCTGGCCAACTTCCCCCACCTCACCCCCACCCCCCGTTTCTTTACTGAAGCAATTGTAGGTCTGGGTGACTTCAGACCTAGCCCTGTACTACCCCGCCCCTGCACCTTAGATCTCCAGGACCCTCATCCCATGGCCCCCAGCTCAGAAGCTAAGAAATGACA